AATTATGCCATCTTTAGTATGTCTTATTTGTAAAACACCCTATTTAAACCGTCTTTGGGCTAAATTGGCTCATTGTTTGCAGATTCATTTCTCAACAGCTCCTCATTCTATATCTCTTTTTGTTGAACTTACACCAAAATAAAAGCTAAAATAATAGCCTTTGTTGTCATTGCATTGCCTGATCTAACTCCATTAAATTTACCAGAATTGTTGTAACATTATAATTTTTGAAAATAATAATTTTGGCAAATACTTGCAATCATTTTCCCTGAAAAGTAAATTTAACACATTTTTACATATACACCACTTTCACTGATTACACAGCATACTGAGTGAAGAATCTCCATGTTTGTGTCTGCTGATTCTTTTGCAGATACCACAAGTACAATGAATACGCATTTCACCATTGGCTTCTCCGCTATCGGTATGTTCTCCTCCAAAGCAGTCAGCGCCCTGAGCATCTTCTTCTGTGCTGAGATCACTCCCACTGTGATCAGGTAAACCCACTGCAAGAGCAAGACTGTACCACCAGAGGAGGGGGAGATAATGTGGAAAATGTGTTCTTATTTTGCAGAGGAGTAAAACAATATTCAGGCTGACAAGTGTTGCACAATTCAAAATCTGTGTTTTAAAAATCTGTTTCATTGTTCTGGAGAACTTATAATTCATTTTTTTAGTGTAGCTGTTGTTTTTGTTTTTAATCGTGACCATCCATTCTGCTCCTCCTCCTGTTTAATATCGGTATGAAATTCCTGAACTGCTAGAAAAGACAGACTCACAACCCCGTATCAAATGTAATCCACAACTTGCACAAATTATCCAGCCTTTTGGGGATGTGTGACACAGCACTTGATGTATAAAAATATAGTTTTTTTTTTTAAAGCATTGCTCTGCTAACAATGTGTGAAGTCCACCATCTAGTGGCTAACTTTGGCAATGACAGGAAAGGGAATTTCCAACATGGAGTAGAGGGTGTTAGACGGTACTGCAGCACTCTCTGCTGCTCCTCGGGAAAAAGGCAGAAATGAAGAGGAGGGAAAAACAAAACTGCTTTTAAATACAAGATTTAGCTTTCCAGAACAACGTGCAGTTTGTGATTCCCTTAAATTGCAGTAATTTCAATATTTGTGAGAGGTTTTAAAGGTTTGTGAGATCATCCCAATTCTCTATTGATATTACAAGCTAATAAATATTCTGTCTTCCCATAGGGGTGGTGGTTTAGGCTTGGTCCTGGCCAGCGCTGGCTTTGGCATGCTTACTGAACCCATCATGGAACTCCACAATCAGAAGGGCTATTTCCTTCATCACATAATTTTTGCCTGCTGCACTCTCATCTGTATCATCTGCATTCTCCTGTTGCCTGAAACGCGCAATCAGCCACTCCCCGAGACCCTGGCTGATGTCGAGAACTACACCCGTCCACCCCTGCTTCCCCCGAGGAAACCTGGATTGCTGCACACGTCTGACAGCACCAGGGACTACACAAGAGTGCGTGACACACCACTTCATGAAGCGCCCATCATCATCATGGACTCTACTGCCTCTTCAGCTATTGATTTGACTGGAGGTATGCAGTTAAT